AAGAGGAGGAGATAGAGAAGAGGGAGAGAAAAATGAGTAAGAAAGAGAAAGAGATAAAGAGTAAAGTGAGATTTATCTTGATGAAAAACCTTATTCCTATATGGGATCAATGAGCATAGACACCTACAGCTTGAAACTGCACACAACACTGAATTCAGAAGGCGTACATGAGCATTCTGTGATGAAAGAAATGGAAATCCCAAAGTTGTCTTTACAAACATACACACTCTCTTGATATCAGATTCTGTGACTTTATCTGTGAATACAAAACACCTGATCTCATCCCTTGTCGAGAACATCACATGCCTCAAGGCCTTTCCTATTTTCCACAGATGCAAGTGCCGAGGATTTTCTTCACAGCTTCTTTTACCTCCTTATTCCTCAGGCTGTAGATGATGGGGTTCAACATTGGGGTGATCACTCCATAAGACAATCCAATGATTTCATCAGATGCTTTTGTGAACTTTGATTTGGGCTTCGTGTACATGAAAAGGGCTGAACCATAGAATAAGATGACCACAGTCAAGTGCACTGAACAGGTAGAAAAGACTTTCTTCCTTCAGCAGAATTAATTCTCAAGATGGAAGAGAGAATAAACACATAGGAGATAAAAATTAACAGAAGAGGAATCACCAATAAAACAATACTTGCCACTGTCATTATAAATACATTCATGGAGATATCTGAGCATATGACTTTAAGAAGAGCCAGGATCTCTCACAGGATCTCTCACATAAGATGATCGATTATGTTATTCCCACAGAAGGGCAACACCATTGTCAGGACTGTCTGCACTAAGGAATTCAGACAGCCTATGATCCAGGACCATGCAGCCATTTGCACATACAACTCTGTCTTCATGATGATGGAGTACGTCAGTGGGTTGCAGATGGCCACATAGTGGTCACAGGCCATTAAAGGCAGGAGGACACACTCAGTGGAGCCCAAGCCAAGGGACACAACCATCTGCAGAGCACAGTCAATGAAGGAGATGGATTTTCTCTCAGAAATCTATGGGTCTCTCAGCCATGGATACCAGTGCCTGTTCTGGAGAGGGGGCAGAGGGTGTAATGGACTCCATGAGGGTCCTTAGCTTTGGTGGTTTAATGCTCTATTTTTGTGTTGGCTGGCCTCCTGCCAGGAGGTGTCATCTTCCAGAAAGCATCAGCTGAGTAGTGTGGAGAGGGACTGGTGGTGGGTAATAATGCTTATTAAATATAATAAGCATTGGAGGAATGGATGATGATGTATAACAAATGTCCAAGAAGGAGAGGTTTCCAAGAAAGAAATACATGGGGATATGGAGGCGAGAATCCAGGATCCTGATGATAATGAGGATGCTATTTCCCAGGAGGATTATCACATACATGATGAGGCAGAGCATGAACAGAAAAAGCTGGAGCTCTGGATATTGGGAAAGCCCCACCAGAAAGAATTCAGTCATGGCAGAGTAATTTCTTGTCTCCATGTGTTCATGTCATCTGCAGAGTTTACAAAAGAACATGAGTCAGGAAAATTTGAATTTTTGATGTAGAATTATCAAATAACTTTCACATTCATCATTTTGTTTTATTCTTAGAACATGCCCTGGCATCAGCAAGAGCAGGGCTATTAACTTTGCTAATGATAAAAAAGGCACTGAGATCAATACTTTTTTTTTTTTTTTTT